GGAGTGTGTATCGCATCGACCGATATATGTGTCGGTGTTTGGCTGTCCCTTATTGCCGACCACCAGCGCCCCCACTGGGATGGGGTCCTCACCATGTCTGGGAACCCACTCCACATTCTGGGCCACCAGTACCTCAAACTCCTGGCCCTCCTTTACGGACACCTCTTTCCCTTCAGACGTTACAACACATCCGACTTTTTTGTCAGCCTTTCCGGCGACTAACCCCTCATTAACCTTATGTCTGCACACATTTAGCGGTGTTTTATCCGCATCATAACCGGCCACATAAGCACCGGTAGGTATTGTGCTCTGAGTTGCTTTCACCCAACTGTGCGTACATTTGGCTGAAAATATAATAAAAATAAAACTTAAGAAAACTGTAAAAACTGTGATTAAAAAATATTAAATAAACATAACTACACAACCAGGTGCAATTAAATAGGTTTTGGTGTTTTAATTCACGACTTTTTAAAATAAATAAATAACATGCTAAATAATATTATAAAAAATTTGTAAAACAAAAGTTTTATGTCCTATTATAGGAATGATTGTTTTAAGCATAACCTTATATTTTATCCTGGTCATCTCATAAATATATTCAAATGTAAGCTAAAAAAGTTTTCAATAATAAGTAAATGAAATAATCTAAAAATTTTAATTTATTTCTTAAAACTGTAATAGTTTATAACTTATAACATAAATATGTTGCAATAATTTTATACGAGGTCAATTTGGAAATGTACGGCAGAGTATTTTATTATAATTATAACTTAAATAAAAATTTACTTTTAATAACATAATTGTATTGAATTATATAAGTTTTTTTATTTCAGAAACTAAAAATTAATATTTTGGAAACTTAATTATAATAACAAAATCATATAAAATAATAATTAAACTAAAGTCTTAAATAAAAACAAAGATCCCTTACCTTCGTGATGATGGTCGCCATCAATGGTGAGAATATAGGTCCGGATCTGTTGTGGGGATAACTTGACGATAAGGTCGCCCTCAACGGCACCGTTACCTCTGATGTCGAAACTGTCGGCAGAACTCTGTTTTGATTTCCAAAGTCGCCATCAATGGTGAGAATATAGGTCCGGATCTGTTGTGGGGATAACTTGACGATAAGGTCGCCCTCAACGGCACCGTTACCTCTGATGTCGAAACTGTCGGCAGAACTCTGTTTTGATTTCCAATCCATGCGTTTAGTCTCAGATAACAACTCATTGGCCGCTAAATTCATTTCAACTGAATTCACTATTTTTAGAGTTTTCAACACTTTTTGCATATCAAACGACACGTCCTTAGACTGGGGACTGTTATCCCCTTTTTCATACATGTGCTCAAACCTAACCAACACCTCCCTGTCCGACCACTGCTCTAATGTCAACAAATGGACCGATTCTGGGAGGGAATCGCCAATCGCTGTGAAACTAGTCGTATGTTTCCCGGAATATTCCTCACGAGTCGTGTATTTATCGAACGTCTCGATCGGACCCATAAAGAGCTGCTCAGACAGGGGTCGCACCAGTTGTGGGCTTTCGGTAATGGGTTGGAAGAACAGGTAGTGTTTGCCCCTCACCTCCAGTCCCTTCCCGTCGACACCCGGCTCATCAATCTTAAAGCTACCGCCAGCGCCGTTGCGATCCAGTCGTCGGTGAACCATGAGTTCAACCGCCCCATCAATTAGTGATGAGCCCCCCTGTGCCCTGTCGTTTAGGACAGTCATCTGTAAGCCTATAATAAAATTTAAAATATTTATAATAATTAAAAGACTTAAACTGTAATTAAAACATGAATTTTTATAAGTATTAAGCTAATTTGTTTAAAATATTATAATATTGGAATATAAAGAGCGGGCGCATAATTTTAAATAGTTTTTAATGATGTATGAATTAATTTCTAATAGTCCTACTTCAAATAGCTTAATAAAATTGATAGTCTTTGACTCAATTGAGCCTTGGTAGTGTAGTAAAATTAAGTATTTAGCAAATAAATACATACACCATAATAAACAATTTTTTCATAAAAATGTCACTAGGTGATTATATCGTTATTTAAACTGTTTGATATATCCATAATTTTCAACGAAAATCTAATTAAAACCTTTTATATAAGAATTGTTTTAATTTGTATATTAATTTTACGACTGGATGTATATTCATAGACATTCATATTCTTAACACCTCATATAACTTAACAAACCTATTGAATATTTTTGATTGTTTATCAAATATATTAAATTAATTTATATGATTGTCGCGCTATTAATATATAGTATATTATATTAAGTAACTCATAAAATATATAAATATTGAGCATTTATAAAATTAATTATTATTAAATACAATGATACATTATACTCTTTAAACACTTACCCTGGTAAACATCTTGAACCGATATCTGTTTATAAATGGGGTACCAATTGGCTGTAATCACTTTACCCTCGCACCCGGTTTTGGTCGGATCGTACTTCCGGTGCATAGACTGTCGCCCATTAGAGTCCGTCACAAACTGTCCGTCGGTTTTCAAATTGGACTCAAATCGGGTTATTATCTCTTTTCCGATCTTATCATTGATAGGAATACCCCCTACTGTCCAGTCAAACTCAATGTAGTCCTGGTCCTCATACGTACGTACGGTTTGGTGGATATAGTCGGCAAACACTTGGTTCAGCTCATGTACCCCACCGTCCGTATGCCGGGAGACCAGCTTTTGTTGGCCGTAGTCCCGGGCGTTACCGTCGGGACAGAAGTGGTAACTGCCGGAGTCCTCGGGTCCCTTATCCCATGATTTATACCATTTGAACGATTGTTTCAGGGTATGTGTCTTGCCATCGAGGGTAATGGATTGTATGGCACCGGTAGTCTCGTCCACTTGCAGTGTAAATGATTTGCCTTTCATTTCGATGGGTGCCCGACGGTTGCGGGTTAGGGCTGCCATTAGGGGATCTGAAGTACATTATATGAATAATAATAAAAATTATATACATTATTAAAAATATCTATAAAAACTGGAAATAAATATAATTATGTGATTAAACTTTACTATTTAAAACTGTAAAATAAGTATAATTTTGTAAATTATTATTGTAATGTTTTGAATATTTAAATGATGGCTATTTCAATTACTGAACTTTTAAATATTTTGTATGTTTTTAATTTATCATAGGTGGGTTAAATTAAAGTGCTAAATTGTTCTGGGTTCATTTAATAAAAAAGTGAACATTAATAAATTTTTATAAAAAAATTGTAATTATATTAAATTGATAATAAAATGACTATTTTGTAAAATATATTATTTATGATATATCATATAATTAGATTAAATGTATTTTAATTAAATAATACATACTTTTATCGCTTTTCTGTTTCTCAACGAAAAATGTGGTGAATCCGAGTGCAGGTAACTGTCCATTAAAAACCAGTTCATGAGTTCCGGGACTACCTTTCCTTTCGGGCAGTTGCCTCACGGCTTCCGACACCGGGAGTAAAGCCTTTGCCTTAACTTCAGTACCGATGGCATCGACTACAGTGTACTTCCCGTCGACCACCGGAACCCTAATATACTGACTGACGGGTCGGGCGATGGGGTTATAGACAGTGACAGCAATCCTGTCGTTAGTCTCCGTTAGACTGCAATCCGTTATATTCAGTGAATCGCAGAAAACTTCGCTTAAAACCGCTTTTTTCTCGTCCTTTGACTTCAAATACTCGAAAGCCTTTTGAATGACTCAGAGTCATTCAAAAGGCTTTCGAGTATTTGAAGTCAAAGGACGAGAAAAAAGCGGTTTTAAGCGAAGTTTTCTGCGATTCACTGAATATAACGGATTGCAGTCTAACGGAGACTAACGACAGGATTGCTGTCACTGTCTATAACCCCATCGCCCGACCCGTCAGTCAGTATATTAGGGTTCCGGTGGTCGACGGGAAGTACACTGTAGTCGATGCCAACGGTACTGAAGTAAAGGCCAAGGCTTTACTCCCGGTGTCGGAAGCCGTGAGACAACTGCCCGAAAGGAAAGGTAGTCCCGGAACTCATGAATTGATTTTCAACGGACAACTACCGGGCCTCGGATTCACCACATTTTTTGTTGAGAAACAGAAAAGCGATAAAAGTATGTATTGTTTAATAACAATTGGTGGTTATCACTCCAAAGAACTACATTTATTTTGAACTGCAAACTGTAAACATAACCTAATCAATACTTTTCATAAGTAAGAAACATTATGTTGTATTATTGAAAGCATTGATTAGGTTATGTTTAATAAATACCCTTCTTTTGCATGATTGCCACTAATTATTATTTAAAATGTTGTATTTACTTCATAAATTAATATGATGTAAAGAACTGTCTTAAATTTTCTAAATTTATAACATTATTGTCAAAATATAGACAGGTTATTGTTTATATTTACAGTTTTTATTAATAAATTAACTCAGTCTGGGTTACGCCTTCTCCATTAATTATATTTTTAAAAATATGTGATTATTTTAACTAACTCTTTATATTTAGTTACAGTTATTATGAGTTTATATTAAAATTGTTTAATTTATTATTTTTTTAACTTTAGACCCACTAATGGCAGCCCTAACCCGTAACCGTCGGGCGGCTATCGAAATGAAAGGCAAATCATTTACACTGCAAGTGGACGAGACTACCGGTGCCATACAATCCATAACCCTAAATGGCACGACACATACCCTGAAACAATCGTTCAAATGGTACAAATCATTTGACGGGGGACCTCAGGACGGGGAGTCCGGGAGTTACGACTTCTGTCCCGATGGTAACGCCCGGGACTACGACCAACAAAAGCTGGTCTCCCGGCATACGGACGGTGGGGTACATGAGCTGAACCAAGTGTTTGCCGACTATATCCACCAAACCGTACGTACGTATGAGGACCAGGACTACATTGAGTTTGATTGGACGGTAGGGGGTATTCCCGTCGATGACAGGATCGGCAAAGAGATTATAACCCGATTTGAGTCGGACTTGAAAACCAATGGCGAGTATTACACGGACTCTAATGGGCGACAGTCTATACACCGGAAGTATGACCCAAAGCATACCACTTGTGAAGGGAAAACCATTCCTGGCAATTGGTTCCCCATTTACAAGCATATATCCGTTCAGGATGTTAACCAGGGTAAGTGTAGTGATATAAAATGAAATGTTAAAAGTTATAAAATAAGTTTATAATTGTAAATAAAATGTGAGTTATAATAAAGGTTAAAATTACATACTAATAATTGGACGACATTGCTTAGCCCACAATTAAATATTTATAGTATTTAGTAAAATAAATTCAATTTTCTGAATATCTTCACAGTTTTAATAGTTTAATATTATTGAAATTATCAAACAATAATTCATTTGTATGTTTTTAAAATTAATTATTGAGTTTAAATTTATTAATGATAATAACTTACTATTTATAATAATGTTACATGATACATTAATTTATTATTATGAATGTTTATAATAACTATTTAACTATTTATACAACAGGTCTGCAGATGACTGTCCTAAACGACCGGACACAAGGAGGCTCATCACTACTGGAAGGGGCGGTCGAGCTTATGGTTCACCGACGAGTCGTACACACCGGCGCCGGCGGTAGTTTCACAATAGACGAGGGAGGTGTTGACGGTAAGGGACTGGAGGTGAGGGGCAAACACTACCTGTTCTTTCAACCCATGACCCAAAGCCCACAACTGGTGCGACCCCTGTCTGAGCAGCTCTTTATGGGTCCGATCGAGACGTTCGATAAATACACGACTCGTGAGGAATATTCCGGGAAACATACGACTAGTTTCACAGCGATTGGCGA